GTCCATACCTTCCTTTACAGGACCTCAAATATTATGGATGATATTGTAAACATAAAAAGTAGTCCATTCATTTTATATACGTAGTTTTATATACCTGAAGGCCTATGACAACATTTGTTGACAAAATCGCCTAGCAGAAGAATTATTCTTCCACAGTTCAATCAAGAATAGTTTATAAAAATGACTGTGCAAATAGGTATTACAGTACAGGTGGTCTGAACTATCCATACAGAAATTCCATTAGCTACAATTTTTTAAGACCTGACAATTACACTTTCAATTCAAAGTGCATCTGAATAATGGCAAGCAATTCTCCGTGGTAGAAACGGTCTACTTAATCTTCAACAGGAAACAGAATCCCTCCTCCTTGCACAAGTAAGACATGAATTTACAGAGGAATCCTATTTTGTATAACATTGCAGGAACAGGCCACAGGATCTGCTGTATAGGAGACTTTGGTTTACAAGAGTGCTCTCAATACATGGCTAGAGTATGTCTTCTTTTTTTAATTTTTCTTTTTACCCAGTGGCTTATATGCACCTCTCAGACAAATGCAAGAAATATTGCACCATCTGAAGGTTAACTCCCCAATAATGCATGGGGAGTCAGGGAGGAGAACACAACGTTAAGACAAGTTAGTCAGTAATAATTTATCATGTTACTGACGCTATTTCTGAAATCAGTATGTAGTATTAGGCAGAAACACTGGGTCCAGGGGTTTCTGGATCAAAATATCAGATGTTCTAACTAGGAAGATAAGTAGGATCTTCTGTTTTTCAACTGGGAATGCTGTATTGATTAGATTATAAGTGACTTCTCACTTTTTTTTCCTAAATAAATAATAAAATTTATATATATATATTATATATTTTAATTACAGGTATTTCCAAGAACTGAGGCTGCTAGATCACTTCTTTCCTGGTATTGTTTTGGTCATCAGCTGTGCTGCTGATTCTGCTGAGCCTAGAGAGACCTTGTCCAGCTTAAACACCCTAGTTTTAGGAAATATACAAAGAAATAACATAGGCATACTTTACTTACCAGTTTTTCAGAAGTTCATCAATAAGAAATAACCAGGCTGCACACACAAAGAAACAAGCAGGCTCCTCATTCTTTAGTTTTTTGCATCCAGTCTATACTTGAAAATGAGGTTTGAGTACAATAGGGTGCTATTATCATGCAAGCAAAAAAAGCCTAATTTCTCCCCATCATAGTCTGCAGATGTGGAAAGAGCAGATTATCTTCACGTGTGCTGGTTAACCTGTCATCAAAGTGATGAAACAGATTAACAGGAGACATGACACTTCAGAAGGCACTGACAAAACTAACAGGAATGGACAGGGCAGAGACCAGCTAGTGAACAAATCTTTTCATAGCAGACAGAGAGGACAAGAAAGAAAATATTGCTAAACTACTCCTTGGAGAGTAAGAGACAGGGCACCTGGAGAGATGGATGTAGCGTGCAAGGCAGATGAACGTCCCTGAGACATTTGTCACTAGTTGGACTGTGAGACACTGACATTAATGAGGGTGGCATTTGGAAGATAAAAGCTGTATCTCTGAAGCAGACAATACAATTTCCAGGCACCATACATAGGGACTGGAAAAAAAGCATCACAGTTGATACTGATATTCATGGGAGAATATGGACCACGAATAAATGGCTTTTGTCTGCAGGGTTGGTGGGGATTGTGAGTTGCTTTTCCTCTCAGCCTAGTCAATTCCCATCACATTCCTTTAGTGAAGGACTCTCCATCAGTCATACACTTACACCTTCCTTGCCAAAAGTCAGTGTTTTATTGACAAGTGCTTTTCAGGTATTAGACTGCTAGAAGACAGCTCTGTCAATAGTGTGTGGGGATTTACAGGGATGAAGGCACTTGCCTGGTATTATTTCCTCTTGAAAGTAAGGAGGGATCTGGGAGATACCCTAAGCACTGGCTGTCAGGACACAGGCACGTGAAGGGAACGAGATCTGCCTTACAGGTGTCTCAAAAGTACCACTACCCTATACCAATGACATCAACTGTGCCTGAGAGCAACTCCTGCCATGACCCTCAGGATTGGAAGTATCATTATTAATTAATCACTCCCTGCTTCCATGTCCTAGTATCAACTGTGTTGCACAGCCGTTTTGACACCAATGCTCACGGATGTCTTGGGACTCTCCCCAGAAAGAATGCTGTCATTCTGGGATAAAATGAGACAAACACAAACATACCAAAACAGCCTTCCTGATCCCCAGATTCATCCTGCCAAGATCCTATCGGAGATCCCATCCACGTTGCCCTACACACTCATATATTGCTCCTCTGGTCAGTTTGTTGGGTTTTTGTTTTTTTTTCCTCAGAATATAAAGCAGCTTCTTTGCCTCTAAAAGAAACCCAGTCAGCAGCAACAGTAAATACATTGGTGTGCTGGTCCACCTGTCTACTTCTTCCTTCAGGAAACTAACGCAGGAAGCCAAACCCCACGTCCAGAGCGGGTTGCAGGCGAGGTCTGAGCAGCAGTGACCCGAAACACTGAGGGCGCCTGTGACAGAATGTTTGCGGGTGTCGCCGGGCTCCCCGGTAGCGCACAGCTACCGCCGTGACGCCGGAGGGCCGGGCGCTGCTCGCTATGCTGGCGCGGATGCCCCCTCTCTTCGGCCCCGTTCCCCGGGACCTCTCCAAGGTGCTGCACGGCCGGAGCTGCCACCGGCGGTCCACTGGAAAGCGCCAGCCCCGACCCGGCGGCGGGCCGCGCGGAGCAGCGCGGAACGGAGCGGGGCACCTCGAAGTCAGCCTTGTCCCAGCCCGTCCGCAAGCCTTTGTTCGCTCTCCCCGCAGCGCTTGCACTGGCCTTCCGCGGCTCGAAACGGGCAGCGTCTCCGACACAGGGGGAAGAAAACACACTTAAAAAAAAAAAACATAACCAAACCCACTTGGACTAATCGTGCACTGAAGAAAGTTTTAGGAGCGCATCCAGTAGTGAAAATCAAAATGGGAACCCAAACTAACCCGACATGTGATAAGGACAAGCTCTTTCTGCTTCCTCTTTAATGCTGCATGTAGGGAGCACAGCTGCACACGTGAAGGTGCTCATGTGCCCGTCCTGCTGAAGAGTACCGAGCATATCCCGGCTGTCCTTCAATAGCGTCTCTCTTTCCTCTTCGATTTAAAAATTGAAAGAGAAAGGGAAAGTGGTAGAAGAAAGCTGACTGAATCCCTCCTTTGATCACAAACAAGCCCAGCAAGATGGATTGTGGGAAGAGAAGCTGTATTCCTAAACAACGACCTGTATCACAGTAGTTAAAATGGAACAGAAAAGCCTCTCACAAAGTCAATTCTTATGTAGATGAGGGGACAAAAGAGCTTTTCTCTCTCTTCGCGGTTTTAGCAAATTTCTAATTTGCCCAAAGAAGCCCTAGAGGAATGAGGAAGAAAGGGCGGGAATATTGGGATTGCTAGTGGTAACAAATAGTAGCGTGCTCTGGACTGCCTACTAGAAATACACAAAAAAATACGGGGACTCGACGCCATTGTACCAGCTGTGTTATTTCTCTTGACCTTCGGATTTGCTCATCCAGGCTGAACAAACTTCCTGCAAAGAGCATCACCCCTGGTCTCTACCAGACACATAACTTTAGTCTCTTTAAGTCACAGAAAGAGACTCCTCCAAAAGAAGGACCCTCACAGAAGTTTAAACAACAACCAGAAACACGTAGGGTTAAACAATCAACTAGGAAATATGCTGTCCTGTTGAACAGAGAGCAGTTTCCCCAGCATTGAGAACCTGCCAATATATATCATATCAATAAAAAGAAGCTCTTCGAAAGCTTGCATAGTAATTGAGATTGGAGATCTTTTTTGATACGGGTTGGCATTTCCTCATATCAATCTGACAGAGCCAACGCAGGAAATTGCTGGTAATATTCATCTGGGGAGCACTTTCATTAAACGTAATTCATTCGACTTTCACAATAAATTGAGTGACATCCTTACAGCAGAACCTTTTTATCCTTGATGAAGTGCTTGCCAGCCTTCGGTTTTCCACTTTATTGTCACATTCCTTAAAACAGGATCGTCAACATGTCAATCTGCTGCATGAAAAAAATGCTAAAGCTGTATTTACAAAGAGCCCAGGAGGTGGTTTAATGCTGACTTACAAGAAGAGCGAGCTGGGTGTTAAACTATCTGATAAATCACAGCATAACTTCACACAAACACAGTCGGGAGAACAGAAGCCATTCCTAGGGAGGGAAGGATGGCTCACACACTCATTTTCTCCAAGTGCTGGCTATTCCGAGCAATTGGTTTCTTAACCTGCTTCACCGCACTTTTTCCAAGACGGCTGGGAAATTGACTTTTCGTTAATTAAAATGGCGGTTTAGAGATGCAGGGGAGTATTAAAGAGCTTAAAATGGATACCTCTAGGTGCCGACTTGGAAGATTGGGCTAGTCAAAGAGAGGCAGGGATATTGGATTATATTGGGGTGCCTCCCCAAAAGACGAAATCTGTTCCAGACTCCTTTCTCCAGCGATATAAGAAATCAAAGTAGTGTGTACTAAGCACCACGAAAAAGAACTTTTAGTGCGGGAAAGCCCCTTCTTAAACTCGTAGCGCAGGTCCCTGGTGGTTAGGAAGGAAGAAAACCCAGAAAAGAATGCACCAATCTCCACTTAACAGGAAACAAAAAAGAAACTAGAGCGCAGAAAAGTTTATTTCGCCTACAGGAGCTCCGAGCCCGTTGCCATCCCCGTGCCTTGCCTTCCGAAAGAGTAATTACTCCACCTACACCACCGCGAAGCCTCTCTCAAACTCCTTAAGAAAGAGGGAGCGGAACCTTCGCAAGGCTACCTAAACCTCCACCCCTGCCGTCGTCCCCCACCCCCACCCCCCGACGTCAATTTGAAAACTGCAAGAAATCGCTTATTTGGGGGGGGGGGGGAAAGCAGTACCCGACTGCTTTCAGCACAAAATGCCTCTGAGAAAATACCGGGGGTGCTGAATATGCCTTCTTTTGTTTTTTGTTTTGTTTTATCTTCGCTGCCTACAGAAGGGTTTTGTTCCTCCCACGACAAAGTAGGACACACGCAGCAACTATCTTTAAAAAGAAAGAAGAAGAAGATATAAAATCAACTTATCTTCTCCTGCATGTGATACCTCCTCGCTTTTCCCATAGCTTTCATTAACCGGGGTGAAATCACCGCAAACAGTGCGACATGGAGCGAAATTAAATGTACACAAAGTCTGGAGCACTTCACCCCCCTTTCCTCCCCCTCGGCAAACACCGTGCCAAGTGTGCCACCTCTTTGGACGATTTTAAACCTCTCTTATTCACAACATTTTGCAGGAAAGCTTCGCTCGGCTGTCAGAAGGCCTCCAAACTACAGCGACGGCGTGGAGCAGACCTTAAAATTCCCAGCCTGGCGCTGAAGGAGGTTATCGGGCTGGAGCAGAGCAGCTTCCCCCGCGAAACAACCTGCTCGTACCCCTCGTCGGGGGGAGGAAAATTCCCCCCCCCCCCATTTGCTCTTGCTCTGCTTAAGTTCTACAAGGAGTTAAACTGCTCTGCCAGCCGGCTCTGATGTATATCCTATTTTACAAACTCACCAGCGGAGAAACACTTTGCTGGGAAAAGACGACAAGGCGGGGAGACTCAGGGGGGAGGAGGGATCTTTACCCTAGCAACACGAAACGCAAAACTCCGACCGGTTTTAGTCCCGCACCCGCCACTTCGGGGAAGGAGTACCTAGGTAAAGGAGCCGAAGTTTCTTCAAGCCGGTGTGATCTCAGGAAAACAGTGCGGGAAGTTCCCCCCTAGAGCACGCGAAGGCAGAACCTGGGAACATGCTGGGGATGAAATCCGGCATCCGGAAGGCACGCTGCCGCCCGGAGCCCTGGGTTGTCCGGGCGGGGCGGGGGGAGCGCAGGATCAGGCTGGGGCCGGAGAGCGGCAGGACGGGGAGAGCTCTGGTGACCACCGGGAGTTGCCGGCCCCCTGCCAGCCGGCCGACTTCCTCACTAAGGAAGCTCCCCTTAACAGCCGTGACGGAAACTACCTGCCTCCTCCTCTGAGGCCATGCTTAGCCTGTCCTAGTGAGAAATAACTAGTTAGGATCCTTGCCGTCTTCGCTCCCAGTCCGCGGAATTTGTAGTCGCTTCTATAGTGTGTCTCTTCCACTCAGGAAAAGGGAAAAGAAATGAAAAAAAAAAAAAAAAAAAGGAAGAAATGGAAAGAAGCAGCCTGGCGTTTTATTGTCCTGTGGTGTCAGACTGGAAATCCACCTGCAGCTAGCAGGAATTAAACGAGGAAATTTCCACTAAGGGAATGGTGTAAAACCCCGTTGTCTTTAACAGAGCTCAAATCTAAAAGAGTCTACGATCTCCGGGCCGTTTTTTCTTTCTTAATATTTACGTGCTTCCTTAATGACGATTTTGACCTTGGCACAGCCCTGTTCGTTAAGAAAACAGTACCCATTAGAATAAGACTAAGATGCTTTTGAAAGAACAGCAGTGAAGTGGAGTCTCGTGGTGAGACTGAGCGTAGCTGCCTGAACACTTTCTACAGCTCTCTAAATGTCTAGAAAGAAAATAACTGCAAGCATGTAAAGGTTAACTCCTAATTCTACCAAATAAGTACTAAGTTATCCGTTTAGGCCAAAGGAAATGCACTTCTACTGCAAATCAAATGCAACATTTTCAATACACTGCACAGCTCGAAACAAGGAGAAAATACACATCTCTCAAAGGCCAACTACTGTTCTTATCAATAAACATAATAGGACGAACCATCTCTACCCCAGCAACATTCCTTCTCTTTCTGGTTGGCCATGACCTCTATAAATTTGTGGCAATAAGGCTGGATGGCATATGGCTCTATTAAAGAGGGGGAGAAGAGAAGGAGCACTCCCCCCCCCCCCAATTTAATTAGGAAGAGGTTTAACGGTGGGAAAAATCAATAAATTAAATAAATAAAGAAGAAAGGAGAGCAGTGTTTTGCTTGGTGAAGAGAAATTACAAGCCAGCAATTGTCTGGAAATGAGTAACTGCTAAACACCGCCCAGCTCAGGCAGAGGGGAAACAGGCTGCTTTCCCTCTCCCCTATAATACTAGCCCCTCTCAGAAAGGATTATTTTAACCAACTCGATGGGAAGCTGGTGGCACTGCCATTTCATTTGTCCCTCCTCACAGGCTGGGTACTGAAAATGCAATTCCTAATTGAAACCACCCTGGTCCACACAGAGTGGCTCATGCACAGGGGCTGGCAGCCCAAAGTACTGTGCCGTGCTGGTTTGTGGCACTGTGTTAAAGCTTTAATCCAAGCTTCATGCTTCAATGCTAATAAACAGTTTATTTACAGGCAATGGCCTAATGCAAACTTTCACAGTCACTCCCAAAATACAGAGAACGTGGAGAGGTTGACACAAACATGGAAGTATCGACTCAGAAAGGAGAAGCGGGTTAGACAGAGGAAATCCTTTGGATCTCCCCCCGAGTGTTTTGACAGAAGACAGTCCAGCCGAAGAACGCATCCCTTCCCCCTAGCTTGTCTTTTATTCCTTATTTTGTCTCTTTTTCATCCTATTTCGCATTGTTTCGAGGGAAACCGAAAGATCATCTCCTCATTCTGCAATGCCAAGCCCTCAGAAAACAACACAACCAGGGAAAAAAAAAAAGAAGAAAAAAAGCATTCAGGTAATGAAGTCTGTAACTAAACGGTAATTGAATCAGCATAATTTGCACACTGAATGGTTTTCAAATGCTCCCAGTTTACAATTAAAGGAGAATTAATGCGCTTGTTGTTCAGACTGCAGCGCATTAGAATAAATCCAGCACTGTTGTTGTAATGAGTCGAGAGCAGTTTAACTGCCAGCAAACACATTTAAAATTTAACACGACGTATCGATCTCGCTCCGGCTTTTTGATAGATTATTTGCCTAGCACTTTTTTCCCTGCTCCCCCCACCCACTCTCCAGATCACACACCCCCCCCCCCCCCAGTCCCCGGCTATAATATTCGCGGGGAGGAGAGGAGCCCGCTGCAGAGGTGGCACAGCCCGGCGAGGGTAGGGGCCCCCAACGGGACACACGTCGGGAGGGACGGGACGGGCGCGACCCCGGGGCTGCGCTGCCGCGCTGGACGCTGCGCGGGCGCGGAAAATGCTAGCGTCACCTCCGCCTGCGCACCCCTGTCCCGTCCCGTCCCGTTCCGGGCCAGCTCGGGATTGGCTGCCCCGCACTCCTCCGCGCCGCACTGCCCCGCAGTGCCCCCACGTGGCGTGGCAGCGCCAACGCAGGCAGTGACGGGAGGCCGCGGAGCCGGAGCGGAGCAGCCGCCTCCCCCGGTACGGCTCCTGGGTGCTTTTCTCGGCAGCGCCCCCGGAAAAGGGGCTTTTACGATCCCCGTCGCCAAGGGGGCGAGCTCCCCGACAAGATATCTCCTACGTAACGCATGGCAGGCGAGCGAGGGCGCGGGCTGCAAAGAAGCAGCCCTCCTTAGTTTTGTTACTTGCGATCGTAGAGGGAATGAAGTGTGTGTTAAAGGAGATAACGCCCCTGTTTACTCGTGTTCCCCCGGTAATCTTAAAGGATATTTGCTGCGAAAGTCAATGACACTTCAGGCGGAGTACACTAAGCTGTGCCCGTCGCTCTGCGCCGCGCGCTAGTGCCGAGCCGCCCGCAGTGGCACATGAAAGGGGGGCTCCATCGGAAGATGCTGCCACCCTCGGCAGGGAGCAGAGGGCAAGAAGTTGCTTCCAGCCTTCAGCCTGGGCGGGCTCCCCTGCAGGTACCGGGGGACCCAGCCCGGGAGGAGGCACTGGGAAACACGGTCCGGATGGCGCGCCCCTTCCCGGCGGAGGAGAAGTTACGGGTACTGCCTCCTACGTGCCCTGCCGAGAGGTCCTGGCAGAGCCCCGCGCCTCCCCGACCCCGGGAGGACGGGCAGGGCTGGCTGCGGGGCGGCCACAGTTGCCGTGAGTTTGCTGTTTCTCGGGCAGGCTGGTGCCCTCCTCCCCGTCGAGGTCCCCCCTGCCCGGCCCGTGCGAGAGGCCGGGGACACTCACCAGGTAAAGGGTGGGCTGCAGCAGAAGGACCGCGTACCAGTACACAGCCTGCATCCTCGCCGCTCAAACTTCCCCCGCGCTGCCTTCGCTGCCTCTTTGTTCCTTCCAGAACATAGATCCACCTGACATCCACTTTACAGAACAAGCAGAGCTCTCACCAGCCTAGACAAAAATGAAATTACAGACCCCATGACCACAAGACAAGGTTAGGCTTGAGACAAGGGGGGAAGAGAGGTGTGTAGGGAAGGGGGGGCGGGAGAGAAGGAGGAGATGGGGTGTGTGGATGGGGGTGGGGGAAACAAAAAACGATTAAAATCTAGTTAATCCAGCGTCAGAGCAAAGTGATCGCACGGTCCGGGCTGGCTGCCGAGAGCCTGTAGGCAGCGCTCCCCGGTGCTCAGTCGTTTTACCGGGCGGGAGAGCCCTGCGGTGTAGGATGGGACGACCCGGGGTGCCACCACCAGCCCTGCCTCCCCTGCCCTGCCTGCTTGCGTGCCCCAGGCGGGGACAGGGCTTCAGCCGCCCTCCTGTCGGCAGCGGAGCCCTGGCAGGGTGCTGGAGAGCGGAGCTGCGCCGGAGAGGGGGGAGAAGAGGCAGGAGACGCTGGGATCGGGGCTGCGGATACTCCCGGGCACTTACAGCCGAGGCGAAGCGCTTCGCCTCCGGGACGCCAGAGAGGGCTCTGCCTATCCCCACAAGGGCCCACCTCCCTCCGCCCCTCTTAAACCGCACCTCGCCCAGGGCTGGGACCGAACTCCGGGGCGCCCCGACGGGTGCGGACCCCCACCCCGGCCCCAGCCCCCCTCGCGCCTCGCGGACAGCCCCGCCGCCGCGGGGGGGGGGGCGTCGCGGCGGGGATACGTACAGCGTAGGGAGTCCGACGGCGGCCGGGGCTCCGCGGGGCGCTCCATGGGCGAGCCTAGAGGGGCTGAGCTCCGCGGCGCAGCCCGCCGTCCCTGCGCATCTCCTCGCCGTGCTCCACACAGAGGTGTCCCGCGGCCGCTGTGCATCCGGCGCAGGCACTGTCAGGGCGGCGGGGCTGCTGGCAGGTTCTCTCCCCCCCTCTCGCCTCCCCTTCTCTGCACACGGCCGCGCTCCGGCTCCGCCAAGCAGGACACTTACGGGAGGAGGGAGCTGCCAGGGCTGCCCTCTCCGCTTCGGCGGGGGGCGCGGCGGCACCGGCGCTCCGGGGCGTCCAGGACGATTTGTCTCTATTTAAAATGACTTATCGGCGAGGGAGCGACGAGCGCCTGCTATTTAACTTAGGATAAATTCTATCTGCAAAGACCTTGGCCGATCATCTTAAAATAAAGCGCTGGAGCCGAGCACTGTCCGAGCCTCACTGCTTGGAGAGAAAGAGCAGCGGAGGGGGGGAGAAAAGGGGGAGCTTGCCTGGCGAGGGGGGAAGGGAGGAGGGAGAAAGGGGAGTTTAGCGGCGTCCCATCCTCTCCTCTGAGCGGGGTGATGAATTAGAGCCCTCCCCGGGCGGCGCGAGCTGTCTTGTGCTGCCCGCGCTGCCTGCCCTTCCCGCTCTGCCTGCCTTGCCCGGGCTGCTTGTCCTGCCCGTGCTGCTGCCTTCCTCCGCCGGGGTGCCGGCGCTGCCCGCGCTGCCGCCAGGGGCACAGCCCCTTTCCCTCTCCGCCAGCGGGCGGGAGGCGGTGGTTTGCCCAGCGCCTGGAAGGAGCCTGGGGGAGCAGCTCTTCCCTCTCTCCTTCCTTTCATTTTAGTTTTTTTTCCACCTCCCTCGGGGGTGTCCCGTGCAACGACAGCGCTGCTCAGCCCGTGCGGGCAGCGAGCTCGCCAGCCAGGCACCGAGGCGGCGGGATCTTGGAGCAGAGCTATGTGTCGGTTGCGGGAGCCAAGCTCTGGGATTAAACAGTTGCTTCTTCCCCGCAAGCAGGAACCTGTAGCCGGACAGTCCCTCTGGGCGAAGCTTGAACGCTCATCCCTGCCCTGTACTGCGGCTAATCCCGCCAGCTGTCACGCAAAGTGAAAGGTCTCATCGACCTTGTTTTCCTTCTTCTTTACAAGGAGTCCTGTGAGGGTTCTCCTGCCCGATTCCATCCCCCAAACCCTATCTTACCAGTGTGACACTGGGACAGGGCGAAAGGGAGGATGCCAACA